CCCGGCCCGTCTCCCACATTAACTATGCGGCCAACAGTACGCTTTTACAGAATGCCACGAACACTCCAGAAAGGCAGCACGGTCTCTACCCACTAGGATTCACTCGAGAGACAGCCACAACTCTGCCCGTGAGCGCGCCTCTGCCCCGTCCTTTCACGAACAGCTCAGGACTGCTGAGGGCTCGGCCGCATGCTGCCCTTTCCTGGGTGTCTCTCCTCGCCCATTCTGCTCACGACCGTGAGCTGCAGGTGCACGTCCGCACACCAGAGGACACAGTTAAGACACTGTTCAGACAGAGCTTGCCCACCTTGTCTGCCCAGGGCCCGCCTCAGCAATGCTCTGGCTGGAAGCGCGCATGCCACGACCACTCCTGGGGCCCGCGTGCCCTCATGCAGCTTCCGTCCCTTCCAGCTCTGCTGCTCACACTCCACTCAGACGGTGACAGGATGTCCAACACACCCCGCCGCTGAAGTCACAGCATTCTGTCTGGGTCCCATTCTTGCGACATCACCCACTTGATGCACCCGTTATTTCCTGACTGCTCTTTCACGGACACATATCTTCACGCACCTACCACCCAGCTGTGTCAACGCACCTCTCTCAGGCTCACCCTCTTCAGCTACCGAGAGCCTCAGGTGACTCCCCACACAGCTGCAAGGCCATCCCAACATTCCATGATGCGGTCCGCAGCCATGTCCACGACCCAGCACGGGTCCAGCTAACCCGCCGGCAGCCAGTGCCGCCTCTGGCCAGCAGCCCACCCCTTCCTGCCTGGGGGAGCCCCAGGACCACTTCGTTTCCTGCCCCAGATCAGCCGCGTCTCACGTACACTTCTCCAAGCTCCTGCCTGGGGCCCCACCCAATCTTTCTAATATCTGCACCAGCAGAGCTGGAGAAAAACGACTGAATCCGTTATAAATCTATGAATTCCAACCACAGGCCTTAACGCCAGCCAAAACCGGCAACAAATGCATCACGCCTACCAACTCGAGGGCTGCCGTGAGAAACGAAGCTCATGAGACAGTCTGTCTTGTCCTCAACCATTTAAGACACGGTTCCCCTCACAGGCCTCCCTCACCCCTCTGTGCACACAGCTCCCTGCCACCCCACACCTAGCGTCGCCCAGGAAGGGAGATGCGAGGCAGGAGGGCAGACGGACTGGGCAGAAACTTGAGATTAAAGTGTTTGAAGGTTTTTTAATATACATGGTTCCACATTTATCTCCCAATTAAATGCAAAGCCCACCACAGAACCAGGAGGTCTGTTTTTCTACAGCAAACTGCAGACATCTGTGTCGCCTATCTGACAAAAAGCTTGATCCTTCGAAGCACCTAACGTTGTCACGACACGACTCTGTGCTTAAGCGGTAAGACAAGACAGGACTCACCAAGGGTGGATCGAGATAGCCGTGTGTTGCCGACCACGTCTGGGGCGCGACCAGGCTGTAGAGAGGGAAGTGCTGCTGGGGGCTGTAGACTGGGGGCAAGTAAAAGGACGCCGTGTAGCGGTGCTGCGTGTAGACGCTCATGTCCAGGGGCCTGAAGCCGTTCTTTGGCAAAAATGTGTTTATAGCTATTGCCTTTGCTTTTATCCGTGCCTGTGTGAAAACATATAATACGTGTCTATTAAAATATTTTAGGTTACTGATTTACAAACAAGTATAACCGAAGGTCTTGCTTACCTTAATTGGTTTTCCTTGAAAAGTCTTGACTTCTTCTCGCAGATATTTGTAAGCCTGAGGGAAAAATCATCCAAAATACCACGGCGTTAACCTTATAACTAAGATGATTGTATACTTAAAATATAGTGGACAAGACGTAGCACCGTGATTCTTAATCTTCGGGCCATAAATTCCTCAAAAAAACCTGCTAAGAGCTATGGAACCTCTACCCAAAATTCCCACAGAGAACATTTGTGTTCGTTCTGTGGGTGCTGACAGACACACCACAGCCTCCCTGGGGACCACAGGCTAAGATTCCTGACCTAGGAGGTCCTAGTAACGACCCTGACTTGAAAGTGGGATTCCAGTTCAGGAAAGTAAGAGACTAGGATCACAGCCCTTATTCCTCTCCGACCCCGCGCCACAGCACTGCAGGCCCTGACCCCGTGACCTGTTCCTGCCACCCATCCACTTCCGGCAATTAAAGCCCATCTTTCAGAGTCCCGTTTCTCTCTCTCGACACCCTGCATTCGACCTGCTTAACAGTGAACACAGCGGGCTTCCCTCAGGCGTGTTCCTGTTTGCCTGTGTCTCCTCCCAGGGCCTCTCTCTGGAGCTCTTTTGAGCACCTGGTAACACGTGTGATGCCGAGGGAAAGGTAAGGACAGGTTTAAATTTCTCCAAACACTTTCCAAAAAGTAAAACCTCTCTCTGCCCAGATGCAAAAACAGAATTAATTTTCCCGGGCTGCTCGTCTTACATGCCCTTAGAAAACAGCACCACGTGCTTCCCGTATTACTGCAGAGCTGTCCACACAAACACACCTATTTAAATTTGTGCAACCCGAGGGATCTGCACTTTACATTCAAACTTAATCCCACGATGCAATCATCTCAATGCTCAAATTTAGTCCTACTATGTACTAACTGTCAAGTACTGGTAACCTCTGTACTTCCTGGGGAGGGAGAAGCTTACCTGTTGTGCATCTGCTTCTGTTTCAAATGTAATAAACCAATTATCGTTATAGGCAAATTCACAGTTTATAAATTTTGGTAAATTATCTCCTTTAAATAGTGCTTCTACTTCCTACAGGAAAAGGAAAGGTTAGAAATTAATTCTCAACCATGCCATCTTTTGTCCTCACCAAATAAAAATGATGCATGCACTTCAGGACGGATCCTTAGACAGAGTCCAACATACTGATATCTAGTAAATCTCTCCTTCAAAACGGCTGGGGGGGTTCAGTGTGGCTTCCATAATTGGGTCCCACTGCCACAGGAAAATAAGTCCACAGCGTAACTGACAGCTTTCTCTACTCCCAAGATACCATCAAGCTAAATTACTGTGAAAATATCATTTTACTTTACCAGTAGGCTAGGGGTGGGGGAGCAATTTAAAAAATTTATAAATTCACTGGACTTTTGCTTCTAGCCAAGGTGAACCAGATTTCTCCTTCCCCATGAAACAATTAAAAATAGAAGACAAAATACACAGGATCACAGTTTTCAGACAGTGTCCCGCAGGCCGTGCAGCACAAGTGAACTTGAGAACGCTGCGGGGACCGGAAGGCGAGCCCAGCCCCGCACTCCAGGGCCCTCAGTGTCTCCCCAGTGCTCATCGGAATGGCAGTGTGCCTTCCCACCAGCCGGGGTACAAAATGCTCCCAAAGCACGGGACAGCAGGCAGAGCACACAGCACCAGTGCCCCAGGTGGCACAGGAACTGGCTCTAGAAAAAGGGGGCTCTGCTCCCACCTGACCAATACCCCAAAGGGCCACACTGATTCCAAGTCAGTCTCTGGGCTCTCAGAACACAGCTCGAGAAAATCCATAGAAAAAAACACAAAACATTCAACACCCAATCAAGTCCCAAATGCTTGGCATCCCTTCAAAGTTCACCAGATAGCAAAAAAATAGAAAAACATGACCTATAATGAGAAAGATCAATCAATCAAATTAGACCCAGAAATGATATAGATGGTGGAATCAGAAGGCAAGGACATTAAAGTAGTTACTGGATATATCCCCTACGTTCAAAAAGGTAAAGACTGAGCATATTAAATAAAGGTAGGGAAGATTATAATAAAAAGAAAGATCCAAATTGAACTTCTGGAGATGAAAAATACAATGTCTAAAACAAGAAGTACGCTAGTTACAGACTTTCAGAAGAAGGGAGAAGAGAAAAATAAAAAATAAACTTTGAAAAAGTACTGCACTGCCTCAGTTAACTTCAAGCACAAGAAACTTGAAAGCAAATTTCTAGTTTTAAAATAAATAACTCATAGGAAAGTGATATACAACATAGGGAATGTAGTTACTAATATTGTAATAAATTTGAACAGTGTCAAAAGGTTACCAGAATTATAATCACTTTGTAAGGTATATAGATGTCAAATCACTATGTTGTATACCTGAAACTAACATAACATTGAATGTCAGCTGTACTTTCATTTTAAAGTACAACAGCGGGGAACCGCCTCCAGAGGGCAGGGTCAGGCCTGCGGGGCGAGCGGGCTGAGACCCCGTGCTGCCAGGAATGGGCGCTTTCCCGGCCCCAGCCCAGAGGCGTTGACCGCTGTGACGGGCCCATGTCACTGGCTCTCACTCATTCTCTTTCCAGCACTGCAGTGTTTGGCACAACGATGGTTCCCACAGAAGGGACACACATGGGCTCGTCTGGAGAGCAGAGAGAACTTAGGTTTTAGTTTATTGGGTATAAAGCTCAACTCTCTCCCCACCAGAGGGAGGGTCATAAGTGACGCCAAGAGATACCGCATTCTGAGTTGGACACGGCGATTCTACAAGATTCTGCAGTTATATTTCTTGGAGATGAGCCTACTCTACGTGCGGTGAAAATGCTGTGTGTTCACAGGCAGTTGTTTAAATAAAGGAGCAGACTGTGACAAAAAAAGAAAAAAGAAACGAGAGTTACATCAAGGTGCAGTGAAGTGAAATATCCTAAAACCAATGATAAAAACTCAAAGCAGCAAGAGACGGAGAAGACTCATGACGTACAGAGGAATGAAGATAAAAACGGCAGGTTGATCCTCAGAAACAGGGCATGCCAGCACATAGCAGAGTATCTTTACAATACAGAAAGGAAAAAATCCTGTGAATCCAGAATTCTATGCTCAGTGAAAATGTCTTCTGGATAAGAAAAGCAAGACTCAACTCTAACCACTTACTGGTGTAAACACAAAGACACAGATGGGTCAAAAGTAAAAGGGTGAAAAAGACACATGGCGCTAACGTGACAGGAAAGGGCGTGGCTATGTTAATGCCAAACAAAGTGGGTCCCCGGGATCTGGGGCCAGCTCGTAAGTACCGGAGGAATGATCAACCAAATCGACTGCAATTAAAAGTTTTCCTCATCGCTGACACCTGGTTCCAAAGAAAGAGAAAGAACTTTCTAGATATGCCTGGCCCCAGGTCTCAGAGGGACGTCTGTCTTTGCCACACAGCGGGTTCAGCAACTTACTGTCCTTTACTTACGCAAAGGGGACCACCCTCCCCTGCCTTCCTTTTTCAGCTTTAAAGTTATCGTGGAAGTTCCTCTAAACCTCTATAGAGACTTCCACCATTTGAGTTTTAAAACAGAGGGAACGCTGTTTGGAATAACAAAAAGATACTAAGACCCATGTCAGCAGCTAAAAGCGGGCACTTCTTGGCTGTGGTCTTTACAAATGTCTCAAGTTTTGACACTTAGGACCCATGTTTCAAATATTAATGTGAGTTAATAGACATCCATATTAATATGAGAAGTATGCTGACCCTTCATATTCAGAACTGTAATAAAAAGATAAGGAAAAAATTTCGATCCTAATTTTTTTTTTCATATACTATAATAGAGAATGTGTAAAAATAGCCTAAGTTGAACAGAAAGTAAAACTTTCTAGAACAAGGCCGCACTCGAGAGTACTGTCACCTAGTATCCGAGGTACCATGAGTTCACCTTTGTTACACTCCACCAAGAACAGGCTGGAATAAACCCACACACGCACTCACCTGCTCCCTCCACAGAGAAGGTATTTAAAAATACACAGCATGAGTCCCTTAAAGGCTTGACTCACGTTAGACCTGAGACAGACAAACGGAGTGTCCAGGTTCTTCGAGCCCCCGGGGTGCACATGGACTCGGACATGCCCTAGAGGAAGACTCTGCTTCACTGTCGCTGGGCACACCCCTCAGCTCCCACGCCCTGCGGCTGGCTCAAGCAGCTGGACAAGTGCAGACTGAGCAGCGATTCTCTAACGGCAGACTACTTCTGACGACTCGAACCGTCGACTACTGTGCCCAAGTGAGTAGTTCTCAAATTATGATCTCCAGACCCCATTTCCATAAAAAAAAGGGGCTGTGCCAGTGGCCTTCTGAGGGGGCTGACTTACTTCCACAGGGGTGGACTCCGAGACCTCTCGTAGTATCACTATGCAACGGTTTTGATTTGGCCTGACTTTTTCTCCCTTCTCATCCACTTGGACTAAAGGTAAAGCTATAAAGAGAAGAAAATTGAGTGGTAAAACATAAATATTAAAACAAATCAATCATTTAATTCTATTATATAATACAGATGCTCCGAGATGTTACACTACGTAACTAAACACATCTATAAGAAACAAATATACAACAAGTCAACTATTTTTAAGCTAGTCTTGCATGTTATAGTTCCCAAAATTAAGGAACATGAGAATTTTGGAAGTCCTATAAGAGCTTTAGTAAATGTGACACTATGAAACAAAGGTTCTAAACGGCTCGAATAACTGACAATTACAAGTCAGGTTCAATGGCTTTTCCTCTCTACAAGTCCTTAAAATAAAACAACTTTCTGTCTTATTATGACATTTTATCTAGAACTCACAGAAGTGTCTTTACAAGTGGGTCAGGTGGAACCAAACTCAACTGATAAACAGGTTTCTGTTCTAAATGGACCCCCCAAAACGAAGTAATGCTAAAAGATAACACTGTCTCAAGAAACAATGGTAGTTTTCAGAATTCAAACTTCATGGAGTATGCCTGCCAACTGTCTTCATTAGCTGCTTCAAAAATTTAATGACCTTATGACAGCCGCCTAGGGACAGAAAACAGAGGACTTTTATTTGTGAACGGAAAACCCAACTACGTTGCTGAGGTCAGAGGATCATCATCTTCCATTTCAGTGAAGTCAAATGCACACCAAAAAATCATCTTCACTGTCAGCAGTACAACAAAGCCGCGAGAATACGTGCACACCTCTACCTAGGAGTCAGTGATGCAGTCACCACACTGACTTAGAGAAATGGGGCTTTAGTTCAGGCTGAGCCATGTCCCACCATTCAGAAATATTTAGGCGGGGCAAGGGCACATGCGACACCAAGTTCTTTGTGAAGGACACTGTGGGAGCAGCTCAGCAGAGCAGTCCTGAGGAGGGAGACTACAGAAATAATTCAGCTGGTACTTGTAAGTCTTATTATAACAGGTGAATTTTTATAATTAAAACAACCTTGTTATTTAAAAATTGCAACATGTTGTACATTTAATATAAAACTAATCCCCACTGAAGATATCCTGGGTCGGGGGGAGGGACGGAGGCATTACAAAGAGCACGAGAAAGCTACGGGCAGTAGCAGACGTGTTTATGGTCTTGACCACAGAGAAGGTTTCACCGCTGTATCCACACATCCAAACTGATCCAACTGCGAACTTTAAATATGCAGTTCACTGTAGATAAACTGTATGTCAGAGTAAAGTGGTTTTTAAAAAATAAATAAAATAGGTGCCTCAATCTGCAAAGCAGAGCAGGGCACAGCGCGTTCAGGCTTCAGACACCCGCCATCTCCCGAACTGCCACAGGCCTCTGATGACCGTTCAAACCTTCCCCTGATGCTGACAAACGTTCAAGGGACAGCTTCATTCACAAAGTCCTTTAAAGAAAAATGTGATTTCACCAAAACTTCAGCAGAAATGTGAAATTTACAAGGAACTCCTTTAATGGCTAGAATACTAATTAAAATACATGCCACTCTACTCGAAATACCATTATTTATTTTTGTACATCTCACAGCTTCTTTCATGTTCTTTTCTACTTCCTGAACTTACGATCAGTTAGGGAGCCCATCAGCCAGCGCCGAGTGCCACGGGCACGTCGTCAGACACAGGGCTGGCCAGAAAGGCCCAGCAGACAGGGAAGACCCCACCTGCCGTCAAGGGCTTTGCACAACGGTCGCAACCGCATCGGGCCAGGCCCACTGCGGCACGGCCGCTGCTCACTTACATCTCAGCACCTGCACGATCAAGTCCAGGTCAGTGCACAGCTTCTTGACGTGCTCCAAGTTGGCCACCGTGGTGACCGGCACGTACTGATCGCTGTCCATCTGCGACATAAGGTACATGTCACTAGCAAGGTTCTCCCTGCAGAGAGAAGACAACCTCTCTTGAAACCTTGTGAGGGCTGAGGGGCAGGATGGCGCTCCAGGGCTACGTCCGCATGCCCACCCCACCTGTCGTTTGCCACCTCTCTGAACATAGGCTAATGCTTTTTAGAGACGACTGGGGGACAGAGAGAGCAAAAGTAAAAGTATATTGCACTTCACATTGTCAAAATTAGTGAGCAAATAAATCTTTCAAAAATGTATTTATAGCTTATCTTTGTTCTAAAGAGCTTATCAAAAACACAAACACAGTTTTTTAAAGTAAGGAAAAACAGCCGAAAGAACAAGAAAGTAAGAAAAATATGAAAAAGCCAGGAAAGGCTGGTGCCCAGAGTGCTTGCTGTTCACTCTACAACACCTGCCAGAGAAGCTGCAGATCCGACTCCACTTCCCAGCAGCTAGGATTAAAAAGAAGGAAACCTGATCATAACGTGACCCACAGGGTCGCCAGGTAAGCCATAGAAAACCAGTAGTTTGGGTAAAGAGGAGTGACTTCCTGGAGTTTTGGCCTATGATGAGTATTTCCAGGTGTTAAGGCAGTTGCAAAGAAAAACCTGGAAAATCGTCATTAATGACAGAAAACTTCACACATGTCAATCAGTTATCTTCTTATTTAAAAATAAAAAAAATTACATTTCAGCCAACCCCATCTTCTTGTATGCCAGTTCTTCTATTTCAACTGTAAAGGTTTTTACTCTATTTTTCAATGTAAAAGGTATTATTCGGCTGTGGTGGGGAGAGGGGGGGGACGACACCTAAAAATATATGAGTGCTATGTAAATAAAACAACCTGCTACTGCAGTGTTTGGCAAACTTCGAGAACTAGTACAGGAAATTTGTTCTCAAACTTTTAGTGTTCTGCAAAACGTCTCTGTGAATGAACGGCCTAAGGCCCCACCCTTGCAGCTAAGTCTGTGGGGCCTGGGAGCCAGGTAACGATGAGCAAGATGAATCTGTGGACGACTGCAGGGCCGGGCCTACGGGATTGCATTCAGTTCTCCAACACATCAAAGGCCGGTCAGTGCTCTAGGTCGCCTATTAACAGATACACATGATACACACGGACACAGGCAACAACAGACAGACACCTCTTCCACGTCAAGTGTCACATCTGTGTGTAATAACCATGGCACAACACCACAGATATTAGGAACCAGAAAAACCACTACCATCCTTACCTGGATAAGCAGAATTCCAATGTTTTTTTAAGTACTTCTCGGGGGTCTTCCTGACTTTCTGGTTGAGACTCATTTCCTCCTACATAAAAGTAATGATCAACTCAGAAAAAAATGGCTTAAAATTCACCAAGCAGATGATTCCAGACAGCAATTCTACTGTTTTCAATAGACATTATTAACTCATCTAGTGTACAAAGAACATGGGGAAAATGCTATTCCGCCCACTAAAACAAGGAAAGCAGGGGAAGAAAAGGAAAAAAAGAAAAAGAAAAGAAAAAAAGAAATCCCCTCTCCCCCAAAAGAAAACAACACAGTTTCGAAAAATAATCTGAGTATAAAATTTATTAGCAAAGTTTGGGGGCGCATTTTATCGCATAGTAAGTACGAGCTCATTTAACGCTTTGTCTTGATTCTAAAACAGATTTTCAGGTAGCCGACAAGAATAAAGATACTAAAGCAATATTAAAATACAAAGACTCAAAATAAGGAAAAGATAAATACAGGCCAAAAAATCAAGGCTGGGGATGACAAACACACAGGCCGTAAAGACTACACAGTCTAGTTTCTACACAGTCTTAAAAAATGTGCCTTGAAAGTTCCAGGTAGTCAAAGTCACAAGTAAGAAATTGTGGAGTCCCAGGGACGCCACTGAGAACACTAAATAACAGATCCTCCAGAGGGAACTTACAGTTGAGAAATGGAATAAACCTGCTTCAGCCAGGTGGTCAAGTCAATATCAACAGTGATAAATCACGCTGATACGATGCACCCTTAACAAGCGAGGATGAAAATGTCACTTCCCTCTGTGATCTTCCTGCCCCCAAACCTGGCATCACTGGTATCATCATGAGAAAAGCATCAAATTCCAGCAGAGGAGTTCCACACAAAACAACTGTCCAGCACTCCTCAAAACTGTCAAGGTCATCGGAAACAAGTAAACACAATCGGAGAAAGTGTCATAGCCAAGAGAAGCCTAAGACTTGACAACTAAGTGTAATGTGGTGTCCAGGGACAGGTAGAATGTACCAAGACTGGTTCAGTGCTTGTGGCGCATGTATCGAACTGAAGGAAGGTGTGAAGAACAGAAGAAACTGGTTGCCTGGTCCATGCGAACTCTCCTCCATCTTCCCGATTTCTCTGTGAGCCCAGCACTGCTCCGGAACAAACAGCACGAGACGCAAGCGCAACTTCCAGGCGCCACGGCGCTGTTAGGGGCCCAACACCTGAATTACAGGCACGGGCCACAAGACTTGACTGAAAAGACAGCGAGACTTGACCGTCACGTGACATATAAGAAATGTGCTTTGTTAAATACAAATATCCAAATAGCTTAAAAGTAAAAGGATAGAAAAAGATATACCATGCCAATACTCGTCAAAAGAAAGCTGAGGTGACTGTATCAATATTAGACAGTAAATTCAGAGCGAAGAAAATTACCAGGGATACAGAAGTCGTTTCCTAATGACAGCAGAGCCACTTCAGCAAGAGGCCACAGCCACTCGCACACAGAGCTCCAAAATACGTGAAGCAAAAACTGAGAGAACCGAAAGGACAGACAAACCCAAAATTAAAAGAATACCTCTCTTTGTACCTGACAAAACGAGAGGTACAAACCAGACATACAGTAGGCCTGAACAACACTACCCCCTAACTAGACCTGACTGGTCGGTACAGAACACCCCACGACAGCAGCAAAACACGCATTCTCCCAAAGTACAGAGGGAACACTTACTGAGATGGCCCAAAATAGTACGTCTTAAACCCAAAGGAATTCAAGTCATACAAAGAATGTCCTTTAACCGCAATGAGATTAAATTAGAAATCAATAAAAGAAAGTTCCCTGGAAAATCCCCCGATATTTGGAAACTAAATAACATACTTCTAAATTACCCACAGATTAAAAAACAAAAAATTAAGAAAGAAATTACAATTTTGGACAGTTTTAAAAAAGATAACACGATTTGTGAGACTGTGCTAAAGCAGGACTTAGGAAGGAATTTATAGGCTATAAATGGCTATATTAGAAAAAAAGAAATGCCTCACATATCAATGCCCTCAGCTTCCGTATTATATGACACTAGAAAAAGAACAAATTAAATCCAAAGTAACCAGAAAAAAAGTATATTATAAAGATTAGAAGAAAACCAGTGAAACAGGAAGGAAAAAAGAGAAAAATCAATGAAACTAAATACTAGTCCTTTGAGAAGATCAATAAAATCGATTAAGAGGAAAAAAAAGAGAAGACACGAATTGCCAATAACAAAATGAGTGCTGTGAAGACTGCACAGATTACAAAGATGAACAGACTACCAAGAGCAACTCTTGCAATAACTCTGACTCTGGATGGACCGGACCAAACCTTTGGACGATATAAGCAACCACAGCTCCCTCAAGAAGAAACAGAAAATCTGAGTCGCCCCACATAAAGACAAACTGTAGCCGAAAACTTTTCCACAAACAAAACTCTAGGCCCATGTGGCTTCACTTCTTAATTTAGGGAAGAAATAATAAACTCATCCAAAAAACTGAACAGGAGGGAACACATCGAAAAGAAAACCACAGATCCATGTTCCTCATGCGCACAGCCGTAAAACTCTAAGCAATACTTTGAACAACCTAATCCAACAATAAATCAAAAATATATGACATTGTGACCCAGTGAGGCTTAACCCAGGAATACAAGCTAGGTTAAAATTTGAAAAATCAATCAATATAGAAAATCAAAGAAAGAAAAAATACAGGACCATCACCAAGAAGGAGTAAAAGCAAAACAAATTCCTAGAACCCTTCCACGTGAAACTCTCCCAAATCCTAACAGAAAGCACTTTGTTAGCCTGACAAAGGCCGTCTAGGTAAAACTAACATCATTACCCCCAGTGGGGGAGGAAGTCCCCCGCCCCCGAGACCAGTCGGAGGTCCATGCTTGCCACATCTGTCCACTTTTGTACTGGAGCACCTACTCACCCACTGCAATCAGGCGAGATAAAGAAATAAAAGGCACCAGACTGGATAGGGGATGCAACTGAATTTATTCACAGATAAATTCACATCTATGCAGAAAATCCAAGGGAATCTACAAAAAAGTTCCTAAAACTAATAAGTGAGCTTAGCAAGTTTTCAGGATATGATGTCAATTTACAAAAAATAATTGTATTTCTATACAAGTGACAAACTATTGCAAATTAAATGTTTAAAAATCACTTACGATAGCACTAAAATATATGAAATACTTAAGAATAAACTGGACAGAAGATGTGCCAAAAAAAGCACAGCCGAGAGCAGTGAAAGGGACGTGAATGAGGGGAGGCACACACCTGGCTCCCGAGCTCTGCGCGGAGACGGCCCTGTCTGCAATCAAGCTACAGTCAACGCGACTCCAGTGAGCATCTCGGCAATGTGTAGACAGTGACCAGCTCATCCTAATTTGTACGAAAATGGAAAAGAACTAGAAAAGCCAAAATAACTCCTGAAAAGAACAAAATTAGAAGGCTAATACTACCTGTTCCTAAGAATGGCTTAC